GATGGGTCAAGCTTCTCTGCAGACTTGTGAAAAGCAGAATGGAAAGAGGAATTTGAAAAAGTGACTCAGGATGCACATCCATATTCTGTGTAAAAATAATGCCACAATTTATATGTATTTTAAAAGAATAAAAAAGAAGAGAACAAGTCATACAACCAACGTATGTTCTAGAAAGAAAGACAAATCCATATTTCCAAGATACATATATCTAAAATAAGTATTTCAAAATAAATATCAACATACTGAAGCAAAGAAGGAAATTACAAAAGAAAAACAGTCAGTGCACACCTTCAGCAGTGTACTCTAGACAAGCCATCCTTCCTCTCTGAGGAAAACAATCCCAGCACAACTGCAAAGTTCAGAACATTTTATTTAAAAAATGTATGTCAAAAGATTTCTTTTAAGATCCATGAAAGTAATTTTTATCATTTGTTAGATTTCACTATAAACAACACTGTCAAATGGATCTCAAGTTAATTGTAAAATGGGGACAGTACTCCATTTCTTGGAGGGAATTTAATTTCTTGAATTTGTTCTAATTTGCTGTTTCACTAATATCTTTCCCTCCCCCAAGCTACAGACATTTTGCCAAAACTTCTTATTTACTGTACAAGGAGCATGCAACAGAAACCTATGTAGGCAGAGCAGTAGCAATTCTACAGCGCCCTGTGTCCCGTTCCAAGGAAATCTTATATTCAACTGAGCCTCAGCTGGAGAAAAAGAGAATATCTTCTGGATGTGGTCCTTCTGGCTCTGTTTTAAAGTTGGATTCTTTATCCTCATTGCTATAATCAGCAATATCTGAATTTTAGCAGACTGGCATTGGACATAAACCACATGCCAAGAACCACAGAGTTTTGTTAACTATAATACCAAAACTTTGAGAATGTGCAGATATTGCCTCCAAGTTCCTTATTTCTTAATTTTGAAATGAAAGGAAACAACAAACTATAAGCCCACCTTAAAGTCCTTTCTCAAGAAGCTTAATTTAGTGACAATCTTGACATTATAGTTGTAAAGTAAGTTAATTTGAAAATCATGACCATTGTAAGAGAGAAAATGCAAGAAAGAACAAATGTAAAAACTGGTAAAAGATTAGAAATCTATTGCTTTACAAGAAAAAAGGCAGGGGGAAAAATCACAGCAGTTAGGCACAATCACAGTTTCAAGGTTTTCATTTCTACCCATTAAGGTACGTCAAGGCTTTGCTTGTGTTTCCAAATCTGCCTAATATTAGCAGGTAGTTCCAGGATGATCACATTTCTCACAGTGGTCTGAAGGATCCTGAGCATCTCTCTGAGGGCACTGTATTTGCCTCCTTCCTTTTCTGTTTTAAGAGTATAATGTATCCATGTATTGCAAATTTCCTTGAATTGCATCTCTCTCCTTTTGCACTGATAATTTTTCTACTTTATTTCAAAATGAGCATAATGCCCTGATGAACAGAAGTGGTCATCACAACTAGACTGCTGGATAAGATGTCCACAATACAAGCTCTATTTAAGTGTTACAATGTATTGGTCATGCATACATCCCTACAGAATCCTGGCAAGCAGGCATTTCAACATGAATAGTTGATATGAGGTCAGGTTGCTAATCAACTAATTGTTGGAAGGACAGTTGTACATTTTCAAATTGGCGACAATTTCAGCATCGCACATGATGAATTCCAACAGCCAGAGAGAGTCAGTGGTCATCTACTTTAGCTCTTTTGGCTTTCAGGGAAAGATGCTGTAATGAAAAAAAGATAGTTTCTTTTAAAATTTATAATCTCATCAATGGTCTAATGAACTAACTCTTCATCAAGGAGTTAAATCAAAACTGCATCAAATTGAATGTTGCTTTTGCAGCTCTTCTATGTTGCCATTTGGCCAAAAGCATTAAAATGTACAGCCATTTGCCAATATAGAAATACAGGTAGTCCTCAACTTATGACCACAATTTCTGTTGCTAAGTGAGACAGTTGTTATATAACCTTTGTCCCATTTTATGACTTTTCTTGCCACAGTTGTAAAGTGAATCACTGCAATTGTTAAGTTAGTAACATGATTGCTACGTGAATCTGGCTTTCTCATTGACTTTGCTTGTCAGAAGTCACAAAACGTGTTCACATGGCTCTGGGATACTGCAACAGTCATAAATATGAGTCAGCTGCCAAGCATCTGAATTTTGATCATGTGGCTATGGACACATTACAACTATTGTAAGTATTAAAAATGATCATCAGTCAGTCATTAAACAAATTTTGGTAAGTCAAGGACTACCTGTAATTGCTGTTTTAAAGTTGTAAAAATGTTGGTGCCTGGTAATAAAAAATAAATAAAATGAGGAAAACACACCTTGCAAAGTTGCAGACTTTTGTAATTCTTTCATCAATAGAATTTCTATTATAATGAAGCATTCAACTGTTAATTAATCAGATGGAGTAATAAGTCATTCCAAGTAGAGTTGCATACCATACTCACTGCTCTCTTTATGTGACCGATGGTGGTAGAGAATAATTCACAGAGCTGTTTTCTCTTTTTCCTCCTTTCTACTTGTCTTCTAAAGAAAATATATGCCTTGCTTGCTGATACTAAGCTGACATCATCTCTCTTTTACATTTAAAAATCTAAGTGATCAACTATTCATATAACACCATTTTGTTATCAATGGTCCCTCTCTCTTCTAAATATTTGCTAGTTCGTACTGCTTGCTGAAATAAGACTTAATTGTAATTAATGGTGGGTTTTCATTTTGTGTTGACTATTTTGAAACACAGCTGCTCCTTATTTAACAACCATCTCATTTAGCAACCAATTTAAACTTTGAAGTATATTATAATCTAACAAGCATTTTTAAAGTGAAATACAAAAACACAAGAAAATATAATAAGAGCTGCCAATACAGCAGTGGTACCGTTTGGAGTCCATGCCGAGCCCGTACCGTTCCTTGCTGATAGAAATGAGGGGCCAGTTCCAATAACCAAGCAGATTTAATAGCTGTAACATCTCGCATGTAATACTTTGAAGTCTGTATAACTTCATTGTACACTACCCTAAAGATAAATGATAAAATAAAAATAAACAATATAGTGTATGAGCCTTGAAACCTGAGCTCATTCATGAGTTAATTATCTTACAATATTTTACCCTTAGCATAACTACTTGATATGACATGGCATGGCATAAGATTCACAGACACACTTTGGCCAGATTAGAATCTTAACTGCAGACAAGCATAAAGCCGCATGAACAACAAACAGGTGAGTTTTCATTAAAATGCAAAGATTTTATGGACTTTTATATATTTTCATTTAAATTCAAGGCTTTTTCCTCCCACTCATTCATGCCTCAAAGTCTGGTGGTTGTCTTACTACAATAGGTTTCCCCAAATTTAGGAAAGAGAATAACAGTTTGGAAATATTATAAACACTGAACGTCTACACATTCTTCTTTGCTCAGACAAAATATTAGCCAATTTCTTCATGAATCAAAGGACAGCTAGCAAGAGGATCAAGAAAAGTCCATCCTAACAAACTCTTCAATAACCTAATCCTTTTTGCCTTTCAATAAATCTGGTTAAAGAAAATTCTGTGAGAATTCTGCTTTTTGATAATCTGCTAAGAATCTAAAATCTTTATATCATCTCTACCCTGGAGACCATTGGCTTCCACCTCATGAGCCCCATACCACACATAGTTCATTATAAAGAACATCCATTAAGAAAACATTTAAATGCTTTCCCATTATTATTCCATAAGAAATTATATCATGTAGACAGTAAGCTTCAATATGAACATCTTTATGCTATAAATTAACATGCACATTCCCACTTGAGATAGAAGAGATTTAGAGTATTTGAACTGTTTTGGAAGTCAGCTTTACATCTCAGTATACCTAGAAAGAGTTCAAAGAAAATACAATACACACAGAAATCTCTCTGAAGAACTATATTATCTAATTATGACCTTGCATAGGAATTAGCAACACTCATATTTGCTTGTTAGATTGATCCAAGTTGTTTCTCTCCATCCAGACCTTCAGACACTGAGCTAGGACTTTGATGGCATCATCAAGTTGGACCTGGATCAAGATGTATAACTGGGCATAACTGGCATACTGGTAACATCTGACCCCAACCAATGGATGACCGCACCCAATGTTTCATGTAGATGTTAAGCAGAAGAGGATAAAGCATTGAATTCTGCAACATTCCACAAGTGAGACCAGACACAGAGAAAGGAGAATCACTGTAAAACAGTAACAGTAACTCCTACCCCAACCCTCAAATCCAGACCAAATTCTATAAGTCAACAATACTGAAAGCTATTGAGAGATCAGGAATCATTATAGACACACCAAATAATCAGCAAATATGATTAAATATAATGTATGCCTTCCATGAAGGCAAACTTCTAACATCTTCTAGCAGTCAATGCAAACAATTCCAAAAGCAATCACTATGAAGTCTGTAGTCAAAAATCAATGAGTAGTATCGGACAGCATTCACTCAAAATGAAATCATTCCATTTTGCATCTTGTAAACTAACATAACTTCTAAATTACAATCTTTCAAATCTAATATTGGCTCTCCATAAATTACAATATCAAAACCATAGAAATAAAAAACTGAACTTACCAACGAGGAGGCTTCTCTGCATACAGCACTGAAGTGGGATGGATATAAAGTTCATGATCATCGCGAATAGTCCTTCAAATAACATTATTTCAGAAATATAATATTTATCAAAGCAACATGTCAATGTTTATGTACAGTACAATACAAGCCATTATCAATTTCCTCAAATACTGGTATGATCAGCACGTTACTAATCAGCAACATTTCAGCTTTTCCAGCCTTCTATTGAATATTTTGAAATCTCCTGTTCATTTTTCAAATGAAGATTTTGTCAAGAAAAACATCTCTTCTCAACCTAATTGGATTTAGTTCAAATGAATTCACTATCAAGATGACCAGTTTGCCAAAATGGAGCAAGCATACTAGAGACCAATTATTCCAATTGATGGCTATCAAAAAGAATTTTATGAACTCAAATAATGATAATTTTATATATCATGTATGTAGTATATTTTATCAAGTATCATCTTGAACTAATTTCTTCAGTTCAATCGTGACTAGCCTATGCTTCATTGACTAGCTAAATGAAAACAATAGTATTTCTATTGGTTTTGGAAGAATTTGCTAGAATGAATACTTTGTGCTTATATCTTTTTGTAACTGCTTACTTTTTAATCACTGCACTCTGTGTTTTATATTAACTGTTTGATGCCAACCATATGCTGGGTAAAAATACATTTACCTGTAACATCCAGTAGAATGAAATCTGGCTGCATTAGCAAAAAATCCAGAAACAATACATCTTAGAACAGGGTCTGGATCACCTATAAGAAGGAGATGGATTTGTCATTTTACAGTGAGCATGTATCAGAGATAGGTATCTTGGCATCCTCCAGATATTCTGACTTTAAAATCATAGCAACCAATCATGGGATTACCGGAGCTGCCCCACAAAATATACAGAGAGGCAAGGTTATCTTTTTCAATAAACCTGAAAGGCTCAAGTTAAAAAAGAAAAATAATAGCCAATAATTACAAATTAGTGGTGGAAGAAAGAAAAAGTAAGTTCTTCTCAGAAATACATATTCCTGACACAAATATGAGTTATAAGAGACAATGCCTATAAATAAAGAAATGAGTACTATTACATGCTAAAGTTAAACAAAACAGAAAAATTCCATTCTGCAGATCAAACATTAAAAGTACCCAGGAAACACGTCGCTAAATTAGGCAGTTCATACCTTCACTAGATTTTTTGGGCACTTTGAACTTGACAAGAAGTTTTTTCAGCTGCTCCCTTACAATTGTGGCTCTAACAAGACCTTTATAATTCAGAAAGTGTTCCTGACACCACTGAGAACTTTTGTTGTGCTACAAATAAAAAGGAAAAGATGAATCACACTAACAAAATTTCTATCACAAAGTGTTAGTTAACACTTACTTCATATGCAGTTTTCTGATTTCCTTAATGTCATGAGAATGAGAATGAAGATATACACAAATTTTCCCACTCTACATTACAATCTCAAAACCTTATAATCTTTTTTAAAAATAAAAGCAGTGCAATTTGAAAAATAGATTCTACTATTTTGCTAACTCAAATAATAAAAGGCTTTAAACCCACTTGATATCCTTTTTGTAAATCTCACAAACTGAAACTTATTATTAGTTTATCTGCATCTTAAATCTTAATTTCCACTGAGAAAGCTATTGCACATGGCAGAATTCTGCAATAAAGACATACTTGAAAGGTAAGTACAGTAAATATGCTCCCAGTTACACAACACAAGTAATTATAAAGAGTAAGAATCTCAGCTTTAATTTTAAATATTACATGTTCCTATCTCTTGCTGTAAAAGAGATAATTGTTAAAGAAGTATGTCTACTAAACACACAACATGCTGTTAAATCTCTAAAATCACAATACTTTGGGGTTTTCAGTTATCTGTGCTACACTTCTTGCCTTCATTACAACTAAAATGGACTTTATAAGCTTTAGAAAACTCATCCAATGTTAATTATTGCAAATGATATTTTGGTATATACTGACATCAGTTGGAATCATGGCTGGAAAAACCCAAAGATAATTTTGTAGATTAGTTTAACTGCTTACTTTTATAAAAGCTTCATAGACATTAAGCATCGTGAGATGGTCACCCTCCTCAACAGCAAATTTTCTATGTTCTCTAATCTGAAAAGGAGAACCCTTTTATATAGCAAACAACAGGAGCAGGAATAATTTTCTGCTAATTTTCAAGAACAGTACAATCCTAATAGGTTAAATCTGCACTTAAACAAAGTTTCAACTAACCCACGAACACAATAGTCTTTTGTTCAAACGGTATTTCAATAGGTATAAGTACTCAGAAGTAAAAGCATATCAAAAACTACATCATTAAAACACAAGTCACACATAATGTTTTTCATTAAACAGCTAATAAGGAGGCACAAAATATGAATGAAAACAAGGTAGTGAAGTGTACAAGTCAATGCAAGCAGTCTAGAAGTGTTTCAGAGTTATGTCAGTGGGTATAGACCAGCACTTACAGCTTGAGCTTTTTGGTTTGGAGGAACTGTGAAGATATTTTGGATTTGCATCATGGATGCAATGCTCAGAATCTCTTGGGAGCAACCAAAATTTCCTGCAAAATGATTTAAGGAAAAATGGGGTGGGGAAAAGAAAATTCATTGTCATGGAGCAATGCTTCATTTGTTACACCTTTCCAATTAAAACAGCTATAACAGAATTATATCTGCTATACTGCTTTCTCCCTATGCCCAGCTCACTTTCATAACCCAGATGTCTATCATGCATCTACATCTAATAATACAGCAAATTATTTATTTTTAATTATAAACGCACATTAAACATTTTAATTACAAATTAAGAGGAATTAACAGTACAATTTATAATAGAACGTATTACCTGATTCTAGGAGCATCTTTGCAAACATGGGATTTAAAGGGAACTCTGCTATTCTAATTCCCAGAGGTTCAGTGAGACGACAATATTTATCCAGTCCTGCAGGAGAAAAAAATCAATGATACAGAATGTAAATACTGGTAATTCAGGATACCTTAAATGTAAAATGTTAAGAGTATAGAAAGACATTATTGGCTGCATTATTTTCCAGAGCTAAAACCATATTCCTGGAAACTTTGCATTATTTTGTTGTTGTTGTTAATTGCGAAGTCGTGTCCGACCCATCGCGACCCCATGGACCACGTTCCTCCAGGCCTTCCTGTCCTCGACCATCTTCTGGAGTGCATTTAAACTCACTCCTACTGCTTCAGTGACTCCATCCAGCCACCTCATTCTCTGTCGTCCCCTTCTTCTATTGCCCTCAATCTTTCCCAGCATTTGGCCCTTCTCCAGTGAGTCCTTCCTTCTCATTAGGTGGCCAAAGTATTTGAGTTTCAACTTCAGGATCTGGCCTTCTAAAGAGCAGTACCATTCGTATAATAAAAATGTAATCAATTATAAAGGTTGAAATCTACATATCCTTTTTTTACAAAGTAATACAGTATCTCCTATTATATTTATGGTCTGATAGCTTAAAAGAATTTCTTAACAATAACTTCGTTGTATAAAATGTACTGCATTTTTATAATTATAATTTTGACTTTTCAGACCTGCTCTAAAGATAGAAGCACATATACAGAATATATAAATATTACTGTTATAAGTTCAAAATCCATATGAAAAATGCAATGACAGCCAGAGAATTCTTCTAAAGTGCATTAAGTTATCAGTAAACAAATTTTGCAGCTTACTAAGGATTTCATCAATCTTTCTAAATACTATAAACTATCCATTGGAAACATGTTTTTCTGTGCATAACTAAGCCTTTATGAAAGTACCTATTTTCAAAGCCAAGGAATGAGAGCCCACTCACAGCAGAGTTCAGATGCCATCACAAAAACAGAAAGCCAAGAATACAAAAGGCTCAGTAAGATTTTAGTATCAAATCCGAAAACATAAATGCACCACTGATAATCAAGCAAAGAGCAGCCCTTTGAGCCAACTGAACCGAATGAATGGGGGTTGCAATTGCTATGGAAGAATAAGTTGAATTTCTGCAAGAACGTTCCATTTCTTATTTTACAATACCTATTTTACTACTCATATAGTTTTTGTAAAGCAGTGTTTCTCAATCTCAGCAACTTTAAGATGGGTGGACTTCAACTCCCAGAATTTCCCAACCTGCATGCTAGGGAATTCTGGGAGTTAGTCCATTCATCTTAAAGTTGCTGAGATTGAAAAATGCTGAAATAAAGTAATTTAAATTCCCAGAATCTGTTATTAAGGCATATTTTACTTCAATTTATTCCAGGCAAGGGTTCTGTTTTTAGCCATCTTTTATTTTAGTGCCCTGAACCTACTGATTAACAATCAATACATAAATATATAAAAATGAGATTAATTGACCAAATGTATTACTCCTATAAATGATGGGTACCATTCATTTGCAAAAAATGAACAAGAATGCAGATTACACTAACTAAAAGCCATAAATATTCAACTTCAACATTTGGTCTGCAAAAAAAAGAACAATTTACAGATCTTACAAAAATGTTGGCATACATTTGACACAGAACAAGTAAATCTTCAGAGTGCTCTGCATTAAAGGCAAAAATGTTTTTATTCTTCTAACTCTGGTACATTAAAAGCAATTGGTTAATTGATAAATAGTACATAGGTGTAAAGGCAATAATGTGCACATCTAGAATTAAAAACAAAGACACCATCTTACCTCCTAAGGCATACAACAGCTCCAGAGCTTGCACCATTGATTGAGCTGGTGGAGGCTAGAGAAAAAACAGTAATATAATTTGCTGTATTTGTTATAGAAAGATATTTTCAATTTAGAAACCTGCCTTTCTATGAATTTGAGAAGGAATCAGTAGTCTCCTACTGTAATCTACTTGGCTTCAAAAAGATTGACACAGATTAAAGAAGAGTTCACTTTGCGATTTATAAGACAATATTTGGGAGAAGAGCCATGTCTTGGATCTGTGCTGGGATGCTATTTTAAAGAGCTAATTCAGCCACTGTGAAGTCCTTCTTCCAACTTCCCATCAAATAACAACATTTAAGAGAGACGAGCATGCTCACCCTATATAACCTAGTAAGACATGCAAATATCTTCAGGAAGAATTGGTCCCAAAAATAACCTGTCCCTGTGCTACATAGGGCTTTAAAAGTGATTCAAAACCTTGAATTGCACCTGGATAACAATTGGAAGCCAGTGCAACTGACACAGCATTGATGTAACTTGGGTGAACTGTGGGGTACCCAAAACTGTGTGTGCCACTGCATTCTGGATCAGTTGCAGCTTCTGGATGGTCTTCAATGGCAGCCCCATGTAGAGAGCATTGGAACAATCCAAACAGGAAGTGATTAAGGCATGAGTGATTATGAACAAGGCCTCCCAATCCAGGAATGGCCTATTAGTGTACAAAATAAATGTATGCAAAGGCCCTCCTGACCATGGCTGCCACTATGGCTTCCAGCAGGAGTCAGGCATCCAGGAAGATACCTATGCTAGATGACTTTATGAAATAAGTGAAATTATCACCAACCACTGATGCCATTTGTTCACTCAAACCTCTTTAATATCTAGAGAACCCAGCTGAAGCTTTGATAGCATTCAGATAAGCAAACATTTATAAAATCTGAAATGTTTTTTCATAGAACTCAAAATGTGTATCTACTTACCTTCACATAATTCTGAATCCTGTTTAATACAATCAACCTTGTAACCATGCAGTTTCTCTGTTTGTAGAGCACTACACCGAACACAAAAGAACTGGACATAGCTATGCTGGAGGCAAGGTTTTTGTGCAAACCTCACTGTGGTTATACTTGTATATGTAGTTTGAAGCAAACTAATATATGAAAAGCATGAAATGAAAACAGCTTTTGGGATCTACCCTATATAATAACACACTGCAAAGTAAGTTGAGTGGCTGATCCAAAGGCCCTCAGTGAGCTTGACTGTGGGTCTTTATGGCCCAAGTCTTACATCCTTATTACTTTACATCACTCATTTTCATACTGTGCTATAGTTATGGTCTACCATAATCCTTAGAGATACAGGTAGTCCTCGACTTACAACAGTTCTCTTAGTGACCATTCAAAATTATAACAGCATTGAAAAAGTGACTTATGACCATTTTTCACACTTATGACCATTGCAGCATCCCCATGGTCATGTGATTTACAGTTGGATGCTTGACAACTGACATATTTATGATGGTTGCAGTGTCCCAAGGTCATGTGATCACCTTTTGCGATCTTCTGACAAGCAAAGTCAATGTGGAAACAAGATTCACTTCACAACCGTGTTACTAATTTAACAATTGCAGTGATTCGCTTAACAAATGTGGCAAGAAAAGTCATAAAATGGGGCAAAACTCACTTAAATTTCTCACTGAGCAATATAAATTTTGGGCTCAATTATGGTCATAGGTTGAGGACTACCTATACTATAAAAGGATAGCAGATCCTGTTTCTTATGATAATATGATAAATATGAAAGATTAAATAAGGTTCTTTTACTTACTGAGAGGAAGGGAAACCTAAGCACGTTGTCAATTCCTAATGCTTTAAGCTGCAATATAACTGGTGCCAGGTTACTGCGTTGCATTTCAGGAATGGTGGACTGTGGCAACTTCTCAAAGTCTTCCTCTATGGAGAAAGTAAAGTTCTTTGTGATTAAGTTTTAAACATGAATCCTGTCCCACTATAAGATTCCACAACTCAATAACACATATTAAGTTCAAGTGTTCCAACTGAAAACAAAGCTGTGCAAATCTTTTAAAACTGGTGCTTTAGAATGCACAGAAACACATACAAAGCAGCTCCTGCAGTTTTTTTTTGACAAGAAATGGTTTGCCACTGCCTAGGGCTGAGAGTGAGTGACTGGTTCAAGGTCACACAACTGACTTTGTGCCTAAGGCAGCACTAGAACTCAGATTCTCCCAGTTTCTTGCCTGATGCCTTAACTACTGCACCAAATTGGCTCTCAGGGAAGATTTATCTGGCTACAAAGAAATGTTTCCCTGAAGCATTCTATAGTACAAACTCTTGTGCAGCATTATGAAGATATGAAGGACTTCAAGAGAAGGAAATTACAGGAAAATCTGCTTCCATAACATACTAAGGAACATAGTAAGGAAGAAAGATTAAAAATGAACCATAAAATTCTATTTTGGGGTGGAAAGGTGGATTATCAACAAAATTCCCTCTTACAGAATTGTGAAATATTTTTTAACCATCTGCATAAGGAACAGTTTATTAAGTTTATTTTTTACTTATAAAATCTTCTCACAGACAATGAAGCTGAATTTATTATTACAATTCTAAGTTACAGAGCTCAATTGTGAAACTATTGACAATAGATTAAAAACACCACTAATAAGCGCTTGACACCTGTGTAAAGTCTGTAACATTTTCCCGAGCGATTCCGACCAGCACGACCAGCTCTCTGATTAGCCGAGGCCTTCGAGATTGGGACAACCACAAGACATTCAATGGCTGTTTTGGGATTATATGCACGAAGCTTCACAAAGCCACAGTCAACGACAAATGAAATGCCATTGATTGTGATAGAGGTTTCTGCAATGTTAGTAGCCACTATCACCTGAAAAGACCAAAATAAAAATTAGTCCCTATCTCATAAACAACCAGGTAAGCTTGAGAAAATAACAACTGTGGCTTTTTGAAAAAATTGCCCTAAAACCCACAATATTATTAACACAAATGGAAATGTAAGAAATGCTTATTATTTAAGGTATGTAACAGCAATAGCCATTTCAAAATACTGAAAACTTTTCAGTAAAGCATTATTTTGTACATTAAATCTGTAGAAACTGCAGATTAGGAATGGACTTCTAAAGACAAAATTAGACCCCACAGTCAGTAGATAAATTTTCCAGAATAAATAAACAGTTAGATGAAAAGCCACACTTCTACTTTCCTTCTTAAAAAATAAAATTAAGAACAACTGTTCTTTCATCTGACATTGAACAGGAAAGTGCATAATTAAGTAGGTTAAAATGGGGGGGGAGCAAGAAAAAGGGACTGATGCAGAAGAAGGGGTCACATTCTTAACAATATACCATTATAGCCAATCTATCTGGTTTGCATTCAGCATTTGTAACAGCCAAATTATGGTCTAGAATGTCCCAGCAGATGATACATTTTTGAACATGATACAAAGTATAATAATCTCTATATTTTTCAAGGGTAATATAAAGCATCTCTATGCATATCCTATCCTAATAAATTAAGTATGAAAAGATGGGTACTACACACACACACACACACACACACACACACACACACACACACACACACACACACACAGACAGAGCAACCTTACCCAGCTTGTCATCTTCCAACGTACTGATACTGGAATGTTCTATAATTTCTGTCCAGAATGCTTATGCTGGAAATACTGGGAGATGCAGCCTCAATACAAGCACCAGGCTTGGCAATGTTACTTAGGAACAATAAGTAATAAGCCTGAGCAGGGGGTTGGACTAGATGACCTCCAAGGTCCCTTCCAACTTTATCATCATCATCATCATCATCATCATCATCATTATTATTATTAAGTACATTACTTTACCTTTCTCACATTATGAGACATCCTTTCAAAAATTTTCATCTGCTCAGTAGCAGGCAATCCAGCGTACATAGGAAGAACACGCAAGTGCTTCTTCATGCCTGTGCGAGCGATGATTCGAGCTTGTTCTATCAACATAGAAACAACTGTTTCTACTTCTTCCTAGAAAAGCAGTTGAGTGATTGACAGATTAAATTATATTTATTGTACCTTCAAGAGCATATCACGGGGCTGAAATATTCTTAAAGGAGACATCTAATAGCTTCTCATAAAAAAAAAATTCCCTGTTCATGATCTTAAAAAGGCCAGTTAATTGTGTTAATAGGATGCCAAACATCAAAGTGAGTTTCTTCCAATATGCCACAATACTTTGTAGTCCAATAGTACAGAGAACAGAATGGGAACATTCATACTAGAGCCTTGTTACAACTATGAATTATCTGGCTGGTTTTAGAGGACTTCATACAAAACAGATAACAGAAAAGGAAGTATAAATTAAGGCCACACTTGGAATACTGCATCCAGTTTTGGTCACCACAATGTAAAAAAGATGTTGAGACTCTAGAAAGAGTGCAGAGAAGAGTAACAAAGATGATTAGGGGACTGGAGGCTAAAACATATAAGGAACGGCTGCTGGAATTGGGTATGTCTAGTTTAATGAAGAGAAGGTCTAGGGGTGACATGATAGCAGTGTTTCTTTTCATTTTTAGTTTAAATATAAATTTCCTGCAAATTTCAGAAGTTGAATGGAAAGTATATATTTGTGGCCTTCGAAATGAGGTAAGCTTTCTTTTTCAGGCTTCTTTAGATTTTTTGCCACCTTTTTTTAGATGTGCACAAATGTTTCAGTAGATGGCTGTCAAGACAAATATTTCAATTACTTGAGTACTATGTCTTCTTTTTTATTCTCATTTGTCAGAAAAATAGTTCACAGAGGTAGAATATGCCTTATCTCTTATTTTTCATCTCATTCCAAATTATGATTTCTGGTCTTTTGCACAAAACAATCCCCAAATTTTCATTTATTTGATACATCATACATACTTCAGGACATTTTAATAGTGCTATTCTGTTCTTCAGTAATAAATGCATGTCACTAGCATGTGAAAACAGCTGCTAGCGCTTATTCCATCTATTAAAAGAGTGGACAACTTCATGAACTTCACAAATGAAGTTTGTGAAGAGTGCTACCCTTTTGCAACAACAGAAATGACCTCTTCAAATACTCTGAAATAAGCTGGCAGGCAGTGTTTACATACCTAGTAGGTTAGGAAAGTAGAATTTTCCTCTGAACTAAGAATGTGACAATTATGTGTTGTCATAAATCAATCTAAATGCAAAGAAATATATTTCCTCATATAATAGAAACTGCTAAAAGTGAGTTCACCCAATTGATTGTTACAATATCTTTGTGTGTGAAGCAGGCCTATAATATTCATAATTATATTTCTAATTATTAAACACATTTTAGCTAGGTATTAAGCACATTCCAATTGCTCTCATCACTCCCAATCCATGTTATATCATATCCTACAAATTTTTCAGATAGAAAAATATGTGGTAATGCCACATACTTCTTCACTTCAGATCCCCACTTCTATATGCTGTTGCCTTGAACCATTAAAGCTAGAAGTGAAGAACTTGCTTAAGTTTCAAAAAGCAATAAACATCATAAGTAAAGATTAGAAGTATAAATTTATTTTATTTATTCAATTTCTATAGCCACCCATCTCGGACAAGTGATTCTGGGTAGCAAGCAATCATAAAATATTCATGTACAAACCATTCTGTGCATAAAACAGCTGGTTTCTGGTACTGAATTGGCACACGTATTTCTTGTGCTTTGTTCCACACACAGATTTAAATAAGGTTGAGGGAGAGTTTGGGGAAATGCCAAAGACATGTGCAAATAAGAGTATATGAAAAGAAAAAGACTATAGAGGGCAGACTCGTGCAAGATACTGAGAAGAAAAAAGAATGAACAACACACATCAGTCTTACTCAACTCAATCTGTTTCATCTAAACCAGTGTCCCTCAACTTCATCAACTTTAAAAAGTGTGGACTTCAACTGGCTGGGGAATTCTAGAAGTTGAAATGCATACTTCTTAAAGTTGCTGAAGTTGAGATACACTTATCCAAACCAGAACAGCTAAAATTTTCTAGATATGGTTCTGCTGACCGATGGCCATTTCAAAACAGTTTGGCAAAATCTCTGAAAATGCCTTGGTTTGTTCCAGGTTCAGAACAAAACTGGTTTCCTGTATCATGCACATCTTCATATTATCTTATACCCACTGGAAGCAAAAGGGAAGTTCTGGAGAACTGAAACTTAATTTATTGCACCATAGGCAGGAAAGAAATATTATAGATTACTCACTCTTGTTTATTATTATTCTAAAATAGGCAAATACATACTATTAAAAGAAAATGCCTAAATATTTACATTTGATATTTGTGCTACCTCAAGTGTGTATGTGCCTCTCATGTGCATACACACCTAGATACACTATCCTTGTCTCATATCCTCCTCATATAACCACAAATCACAACATTCCAGGCCAATAGAGTCCAATACTATAATTTAGTAGCCTCCTCTCAGTATCACTAGATTCTGGCAATCTAATATAACCAGTATTTTAAGCTAGATGTGATCAGCAATTTTGCATGAAATAAAGTCAACATATTATCTTATATCAAACCAATAATTTCAAGAAGGCAAAGTTTATTTTGCATCTACCTGGCCAGTTAAAAATGCCAGTATATCTCCATCACCTTCTGAATTATGAATTTTCATGACCGTTTCCACAGTTGACTTCACATAATCTGGAACAGGACTGTTAGGGGAAAGGGAAAAAAACATAATAAATTTCCCAATAAAAGGAAATACAATTTCTACTTATCACCAGGATTAAAGGAAATACAAATAGATTTGATCCTTTGAGTAGGATCAAAAAATTAATTCTAACTACTCTTTTCAGTTTTCTTCATAAAACATTTAATACTACTAAACAGTCTATAATTCAATTTATATACACATGCTTAAAATGTTATTTCACACTAGTGGGGAAAAATAGTTCAACAAAAAGTAAATATCCTTTAGCATATTATTAAAAATCTAATCTTTAAACAATGCAAAATCAATATACGCTCAAATACAGCATATGTGAATAATCTATATTGAGTTTCGAAATCTGGTTCTAATGGCTTTCAGTAACTATTAGTCCACAAGCAACTTTTAAACTTTCAACAAGGAAGCAGGAATTAAAACTGTTGCTATCTTACATAGGGAATCTTACCCAAGCATACCTTTTTATCATAGAATTGGAATGGGCAGGATCACACAAGGAAATATTTTAAAAATATTTGAAATAGAATGTGGTGGAAAATCTAGATTCCAGTGCCTAGTATGTCATTCCACATAGCATTCAAAGTAAAAAAAGAACTCACTAAATTGCAGTATATTTGTATATGCATATCAATTTACAAAGCTAATGAAATAAGCACTAACCAACAGAATGTATTACCTCATACAGAAATAATACATTTGCTTCAAGAAGGCTACAAAATATGTTTTATCTATTATAGATTAATATGGCTACTCTTCCAGAATATTTTATCACAGTTAACTTGAACACTTCTCACTTTAGTCAGTTGTAAAAGTAGCGATGTTACAAGAACATAAAGGGACAAGCAAAAGATTATCCACCTATGACATCCTCATTTCTTGCTCAGCACCAAATGCAAAAGCAAGCATGTGGATGCATAGGTAAAGAACAAGCCCACTTCTGCCACCGGACCTTTCCATCTCCTTCTGTGGAGGAGGAGGGAGGGCATGAAGGTGCTGCCAAGCTTGCCCATAGCCCTTCTGTGGAGGGGGAAGGGGAGAATTAAGGTTCCAGGGGAGGAAAAGCATGAAGATTCCACCGAGCCCCCGTAGCACTTGTCTGAAGTCTGCTCCAGCTGGCCGGTGCAGAAGGGGACGGGGGAAGGTTCCTGAAGCCCTCCTCCACTCAAGTCTGCGCCTGCTGCTCACAAAATAGGAGAGAGATACAGTCAATTGGAAAACAGGATTTAAGTTTATATCCTAAATGTGTTGGTAACAAAGCCCAAGAATACCTAAAGATCCATTTAATCGTCCTTTCTCAACCAGACTTCTCTTCTAACCACCACTTAAGCATTAAACAGGAACCGACCTCTGAATGTAGAAGACATCCACAGGAAACGTCCTTCCTTCCACAGTGAGGATCATGCTGGTATCTTTGCTTGGATCACTGCTCTCATTTTGGTTAAAGAAATCCCTAAATTTCTAAAGTAAGGACAGTAAAATCATCACCATCAACACCAGCTAAAGGAAGCAAACACTTATCAAATACTGGAAATCCAAGGAGAAATATTTAAGCTTAAAATAAAAACATGGATTTTTTTGTGCAAATCAAATCCTTACTTCTAGCAGCATATTTTCAAAATAACATCAAATAGTTAATAAAACATATATAACTAGCATATATGTTCTAAATATCTATATATCTATCTCTGTCTCTCTAAGATATATATGAATATATATATATATATATTTGCAAATTTTAAATTTTGACCTTCATTTAATAAGATCAATAAATTATCCATTTTTAAAAAAGAAGAACATATATCCAACATTTTTGGTAAATTTAAAAATAACAATTTGTTCATAAAAATGTAAAGTTAACAGTTACAATTACAATTAGCTGGAAGCAAATTTATACGTATATATAAATATATGAGATATAATTTGCATACTTGACACATATTAAATATGCAGTTAAGCTACTTTCTACATTCTATGTAGACACATAATGTATTATAAAACACAAGCATATAAAATACTAACCATGTGAAATACAACTCAAATTTTTCAAATTAGCAGTGTAGTCTGTATTTCTTTTTTTAGATTTACTCAGTCCAATAATTAATGTTCTGAAGACATTTACTGTGATTAATAACAGAAATTTATTTACTACTTACATTACTAATGGATAATTATTTTCCATCAATTATCACTGGCAAACAAAAATTGCAGCCTTTTAATTTTTAATGAGTAGGAAAATTAGACAGAACTGAAAGAACATAAAAGCAGCCATTTATTCAATAACTCACTCACACACAAAGAATCTAATCTATATTAAAGTAAACTAAGATGCAATTTTGCAGGTTTTCTAACAGTTTCTGAAAAGGAATTTTTGTATGCAGTTCAGCCAAGTAGAGATAACATAACTCAAACCTTTAAGTTTTACACAAGATAACCATTGCCAATTAATTACTTTTGAGGTGAATCATGGCTTTCAGTACTCAACTAGGAGAAAAAAGTCATGATTTTTTTTACTGAGAAACATGAAGTTCATTGTACAAAGCTTATTTTCCCCCCTGGGCTGGCATAATGCTTTGAGTACATTTCCAAAACAAAGATCACTCGGAAATGGATCTTCTTAAGGCAAACACCTTTTATCAACCGTATTTATAGAAAAAAAAATACTATGTTTGGGAAGAAGAATTGTGAGGGCTGGAGGAAGATCTCCATCCCTCTTTCTATTACCAGGGAAGCAGGGAAGAGGGAGGAGAGGAAGAATTCAGATAGTGATTTGGAATGGGAATGACTAGAGATGAATGGAATGCTCCCTAATCAAGATAGTGTGTCTTCTCAAATGACTTTGAACTAAAATCCAAATTCAAAACAAATTTTCCAAGTGTATCAAATGATCCATTTATTTTCCTAAGCTTAAAATAGTTTCTATTACAAAAATAATCACTTGAACAAAATCACCGCTTTTAAACAATCACCATTTACTCTGGTGGGGCTTAAACTCACAACACTATGTTTCCAGAAGACTATGCCTTTGTACTCAAATATACTGATGAACCTCTTACACTTTTCATCCTAGAGGATAGATCACAACTCAAAAAATATATATTGCCTCATCTTTCTAAGATACTCTTCTGGAGCGTCACCTACCTCAGCATCCAGTGTAGCAGATGATATAATCAAGCGAAGATCTCCTCGTTTTTTCTGAACCTATAGGAAAAAATATTAAAGATTGTTCAAATATCATAAAAATCTAAAATTAACATTGATGAGAACTACTGGCACTATATTTTACATTTACTTATTAATATTATAAGGTAATTATAAAATCAGCTTTTGTTCTCATTTCTCATAGAAGGACCCATTCAGCTAAACTTGACTGAGAAGAGCATGTTTTCATGCATTAGTTTTTATTCCATAGATTCTCCTCTTCTGAATGATCAATTAGATCTTAATTTAACCCTAGAAGCATGTAATCTTTACAATAACCCTCATCCTTGATATATCTTGCCTAAAAATTACTAAGCAACATTGCACAGTGAAACAGGATACACTATCCTATTTTCTCCATAGCACTCATATTCTTGAAGAGAATGATGCTGGAAAATGACAACAACATACCAGAAGGGAAGTACACACAGCTCTCAAATATAGAACTGTATTCCACAGCATCTCCATTGGCCATGCTGGGTGGAGTTACTGGGAACAGTAGTTCAGCGACTTCTATTAGGAACACAAATTCTCATTCTTAATGTAGATTGAATATAAGGGCCTTAAAAATAATTAGAACTGACAAGGTATAAGCAAGATTGCAGGCCAACAGCAACATAGTAATTGTAAATATTTGCTTTGTTCCCAACTCAATGGTTGCAAAAGGAGGTATTAAAAATATAGTCAGAATTCTAACCTTTTTTAATAAGCCAATAGCAATATCTGTATATAAAGTCCTTTCATGAGCTTCATCCAACATGATGACACTAAACAAAAGCCAAAATATATATTTTTTTAAAGATCCCAATCATGAAATTTTCATCACAATATTAAACATGCTTGGTAGCACAAGTTAATAAATATAATTCATGATTTAATAGCCACAGTTAATATATTATGGAAATCATATGACTAAACTGATGTTACATACTTGTGACTCCCTAACTTTAAAAACTTCAACAGTTACAATAAAGCATAATAAATTATACATAAATTCTCAGAAATACAACTCAAAATAATTAATAGAAGGTCAAGAATAGCTTTTTATCTAAACCATGTCCTTTGAAGAAAATATTCAAAAATTGCAATCTGAAAAACTTTTCTTGGGCTACATCTAGCCATATTATTCCACTGGCAAAATCTAGTCAATTAACCAAATGGATACTTATTTTCCATCTGACTTACTAAATAATGTGAACCTTCAAAACATATTTGGAGCACACAGAAGGACAGAAAAATAGAGGTTATTCTTGTTGTGGGATTTAACAATTACTTATATAATAGATTTTTTAATACAGATGAATAAATATGTGGTATGTATTGCAGCAAAACTCAGAAAGACAAATGAAAACAGAAGGAATGAAAAAAAACCAATCTGCTTATACTAGTTCATCTCTTATGAACTATATCTATGTTTCTGTTTGTGTGTGTACAGATAGATAGGTAGGTATGTCGACAGTGAGTCAGTCAGTATCATTATAGTATCTGATGTATTGAAATAAACAAAACTCAGAATACAAGATTAGTCCCCATTTACAATCTATATTCAACCAAAATAAGAAAATGAAGTAACAAAGAGAGGTAGAAATGAACACAGAAAAAGGGAAATTTCACCATTTATAGCTTTACAATAATCAGTGTGTTTACCTATATCTGGTTAGTAATGGGTCAGCCATCATTTCCCTGACCAGCATTCCATCTGTCAGAAACTGTAACAAACAAACAAAAACCATCTGTGTTTGTTCTGAAACAAGATTCATGCCCCCAAATTGCAGCAGTTGATAAGTAATTTCATCTACTTCCATGGGTTCAGAGATTAGTGTGGCTCTTTTATATAGGCAAAGTAGTAGCATGTTTGCAGAAGACAAGGAATGCCTGGAAGAAACTGAAAGTTTGGAGAAGGACAAACAACATAAAGAAAAAAAGTGATAGTTGAGGATGCTCAATGGAACAAAACATTGTTTTGGCTGTAGTGGGAAACAAGGACAATTGCTGAATTACAAAAGGTAGTATTTTACAGGGCATAATCACCTATTTATTTATTTATTTAAATGAATTGGCTGCCCTTCTCTAATGAACAAATCTGACATTTCTTTCCATTATTTAAATGTGTTTTGGAATATTGGAACCACCCTGGACTCACTTAAGTATGTATGAAACTGTCCCCACAGATAGTCCTCAACTTACAACCACAATTGGGACCAGAATTTCCACTGTGGGTTGTTGCAGTAATAAGTCAGTCAGACCCAATTTTATGACAATTTTTATGGCAGATCACCATGGTTGTTAAGTGAATCACACAGTCATTAAGCAAATATTACAGTTGTTAAGTGAATTTAACTTCCACAATTTTTTTTACCAGCAATTTGGGGAAAACTCACTGCAGGGCTCTGCAACCATTCAAGTGCCTCAATTGCAATCATGTGACCGTGGGGATGGTGAATCATAAGTGTGAGTAAAGGTTATAAGGCACTTTTTCCAATGAACCATCATTAAATAAATGGTTGTAAATCAAGGACTAACTGTATTTGACTCTGAAAAACATTAGAACCTATTCAAAACAGTCAATCAGTATTGATCTCCAGTGTTCTCCTCTCCAGAATGTACTGTTTCACTTGATCCTCACTGACTGGAAATATTTATAAACACTTTCAGAATAGAAGCATTTTGCTCAAATATATTACCTTAATTCTTGTAGCCTTTGGGTCAGTACAATCATCAAATCGAATGCAATATCCAACTTCATGGCCCAGCAAGGCACCCCTCTCCTCAGCTACCCGTTCTGCAATCTAGGAAAAAGAATAACATTAATATTGCAAAAAATAAACACATTTGATCTGTGAATATGTACTGTTTTTTTATCTTGCACAACTAGGGAAAAATAATTTAAAAAATCAGTGAAGTAAAATTTGGTTAACTTGAACTAATTCTGTTGGATCATTATGTAGTAGTTAAGTATAACCAATCTTTATATGGCAAGGCCCAGTTTTCATTAATAAATACTGGCAATGCAATTATTCTGCTTTTACGAGGATGAGGAAAAATAAAATAAAATTTTCTGTACTTAAAGATTGCACCAGCACAAGGACTTCAACACAAGAAAGCTGGAGGTCCTCCAAAACTTTCTTCCACCAGAAAACTGCCAGATTGTCGACGATTTTCCCTTCATCAACAGAAATTTGGTGGCGGCCTTCCAGTTGTAAAATGCTCTCACTACTAAAGAGGTGTAGCTGATGCCAAAAAGATCATGTAATAGAAGCAACTAGACATATTTTTGGATTCAAATTAAGACTATACAAAGGAAACTTCAACTTGAGAAATGACATTGTCTGCTCTGTTTCTGTATGAAAAGGCACCAGAGAGAAGAATTATTTGTTGGCATTCATTAGCTTTTTAAAGAGATGACATTATGGGAAAAAAATAAAACGTCTGCAATGATTTGATACTCAATGAATGAAAATATTTGTCTCATTATTTTAAAGCTTTATTATGGCTGTTTTCCCTATCACAGTTTTGTGTCATTAAAACTATTTCACAATATTCCATCAGTGAACAGATAAGCAGTTTCATTCTAATAATGAATTTCAATTAGTTATAAAGCTAAATAAACAAAAGCATAATCTATATCAACTAATACTTGCTGCACCAAAGATAGAAATATCCAAGTGTGTTTCACACTTGTTCTTCAAAATGGGCCATGTGATAAATTTCAACAACCTTGAAATGAACCATGGCTAAACCCACACATAATTGCAAAGTTGAAATGACACATTCTAACCATATTTATGCAATGCTACATTTTAATAAATATAGAAAATCTTTCAAATACAATGCCTATAATTCAAGAAAAATATAGCAAATGTTTACAAAGTTCCAAAATGTTAAGTAAATGTGGTTATGAAATAAAAGCAACTATTTAGCGCTATTTACTAATTTTCCTAATTTTACAGATTAAACTAGTCTTTATCACTCTGGGGAGTCAACAGAGTAAATGGATGAAATCTTATGAACACCAAATCTTGCATGCATTTGGCATTCTCACAGGGTGATGCCCATTTTAAAATTTTATTTAATTTTTTTAGAAATTCATACATAAACTATTTTGTAAATCATGCAACAGAACCCAGGGAATGAAATTCCAGCTCCAGGCATAGTCTGAGCATTCTACTATTGGGACAGTACACTGAATCCAACCCTTCCCTAAGGATGAAAATGAAGGAGTAGCATACAACATCTTTCCTATAAGTAGCATTTGTTGCTGTAATCATCTCTTCCATTATAAGCAGCAGGAGAAAACTGCACTAATGGCTCCTTTAAAATTCCTCCCCATACAGAAACCAGGACGACTTAGGATGTTTCACATCCATAAGACCGACTGATATCTCAGGTTTAATCACTTATATATCCCCAGCACCAGACTTTATTGATATGGAAAGGTCTCAACTTGGGAAGTAGAAAGGGAATTCCAATGTCAGATTCTCCCTCTAAAATTAAGAATCAAAACTGATTAATTTTATTAGAAAGAACCCTCTTGGAGACATAGCTTTTGGCAGTGTCCAAAGAAATATAAAACTAAGCAAAATCAATTTATCTTGTGTACTATTTAATTCCATTAAATGGCAACCCATTGCTGAAACCAAGATGACTTTCAAATCAATTTAATAGATTTAATAAAATATCAAATATCTCATTAACCGTGTGTGTAAGCACTTTAGCATTCCTAAAATAGCTCTTTGGATCCTAGCTTTAATGCCATAAAGTTATCCACTGCAAGATCCGTTTGCGCCCTATGTCAAAAAGTTTCAACCTATGTAATTAATTATAATGAAATATACTGATTAATCTAAATGTATTGTCAAAGACTTTCCAGATTTTTACCTGTCTGCTGCATAGGTAGAGTTATACAAAACAGATAGCTTTGGATAGCCCATGTCTAATCCCAAAGTGTACTTTTCAAGTGTTTGGGTCTGTATATGGAATGAAGCAGAACGTTTTTGTTTCATATATAAACAGAAAGGTGATTGTTCTGGACAGAAATGGTTTGGGGCAGTGCAGGATCAGTAGGAAAAAGCAAATGAAAATGGGTTTTGTTTGTGATGACATCAGCAGCAGGCACTGAAGGGAGGCAGGTGAAGAAGGGAAGGAAGATGCTTAGAAACTGAGAACAAATCAGCATACAGGTTATGCAGAAGAGACTGTAAGATTGTAAGAGAGAATAATGGGCACCAAGTTCACTCTACCTGTCCTATAACATTTCTCCAGAATTTTTTTGTCTTGTAGCGTGTGGGTTTTGGTCAATGCTCAGAACTAAAATATTTCAAAAAAATTTCTGTCAAGTCAAGATAGTACAGCGGAACTAAATATGATGATTTGTTTCAATTTGAAAACAATATATATATATTATACATAAAAACAATTGTGGTTTCCCAGATTTGGAATGGAAAATCAGTCTCTGCCTTAAGTGAAATTTTGTACGAAATATTATTTGCATAGCTGCAACATAATCAAGTGTACTTTCCTCCACATGTAAAGGCATGAATTTTTTTTTTCAAAAAAAAGGAAATTGTTACCAAAACCTATATTCAATTGTGAAAAGCATCAGAGTGTGCTGCGAAAATGCACAGGTCCTAACTGCAAATTACTGACCTCATATCAAACACAAAAATAAAAGAATATACATTCTAAGATACTATTGCAAAAATTTCCAGTGATAGCCTATGGAAAGTATTTATCTGTATCTTCATAGTACCCCATAGATATTAACAAATATCTAGACTGCTTAATGTATTTTCAAATACTTTTGACAGACTTTATAAATTTGATTAAACTATCTAACATTCTGCAAAAATAAGATATATAGAAATCTCAGAATTTGGAATCTAGGGCACTCACTGAAATACAAGCAACTCTCCGAGGTTGTGTTACTCCCACTATCCGGCCTTCAGCAGTCCAGCCAGCTTCTGTTAGATACTGTCACGGGGAAAAAATATTTATTAGAACTGATGTATAAATTCTATATTAATCTTGGTTTCTTAATTATCTTCATTCCTCATTTTACATTTCTATTTTTCTCCAAATACAATGTCTCACTGGAAAAATAATTGTAGATCTAATTCAATGTACAAATAGGCCTTGAATTGCGACAGCAATTGGGATTGGATTGCCACAGCTAAGCAATGCAGTCATAACAATGTCATGATGATCCCATTACTTAGCAATGACCATCCTGGCAATCACATGGCGCTGTGGCATTGCAACCATAAGTGCAAGCCAGTTGCCAAGTGCTTGAATCACACTTGAGAATCATTTATAAGTAACCCTTGATCAATGCTGTCACAACCTTGAACAGTCACTGAATGAGTGGTTGGTTAAGTGAGGACTATCTGTATAATAAAGTAGCACAATGAAGACAATAAACCACTCCTGTTCTTTTTGAAATATCAAGTGAACTAATTTAAACTATTAAACTATTATGCTATTATATTAAATTACAATTCTTAAAAGAATCTAGAAAATATTTAACAGTCATCAGAAAAATGTGTAATCCATTTCCTCACTTTATCAATTAACTTAGTTGGAGAGTTACCAGCTATCAAACTAATATATTTGAAAGGGCTTGGATCTATATCTTGCTTTCTATAAATGGAATGTGCCTCATTATCAGCAAGAACTTTTAATCTAGAAGAAGATTTTTGAGGCTAAATCGAGGGAAATATTTTTATAGTCTTCCTCTTCAGCTCCTTGAAAATCTGTCCTGGAAAGTTGAAGGGTCTTCTGGAGTTTTATGGAAGAAGTTACTGGTGATTACAGAGGGAAAAGGGAACTGGTAGCAAATCATTTATTTTCCCATTTTCCAGAAAGTCTTGAATAGAGCTCATCTCAGAGAGTGCCTTATTGGCAAAAACAAATTCTATACCTAAATTAGTTATTGTGAGATATAATAGCAAAGAATTAGTGCTAATGTGAAAATTGTAAAATATTTTTAATTAGATCAATAATTATCTAGAAAAGGTATGAAATAATTAACCATGGAGTTAATGCAATTATTTTCAAATGTTAATTTGAAAGTGGAGAATATTTGAGTATGCTTCTCTGCTACAAATAGCTGACTTCAACTCCCATAAAAAAGGTAGATCCAAGTTCAATAATTCTGATATTCACTAGATCTAGTGAATCCAACTGGACCATTTGGACGAATTAGATGTGATTATTTAGAATCATTAATTCCAGTAGGCCTATCCATTCAATGATTTCTGCTCGGCATTCATGAATTACAAACTAGCCATGGTTACAAAGTCTATGGCATACAAGCAGAAAAAATTTTATAAGCGATACACATACCTTTATTTAACTTATCAAAGGCCATTACAGGTAGTCCTTGAATTATGACAGCCATTGGGGTCGGAATTTCCATCACTAAGCAATGTGATCATAAAGTGCAATATCATATGACTACATTGCTTAGTGACAGCAATCTGGGTTGCTAACCAAATCCAACCTGTTGCTAGACAAGGACACAATACAAGCCACTCCTGGCTTGGTCTCTCCCAGCCTCGGTGAGGCAAAGGACTGTCTCCTCTTCAACTCCCCACACCCATCTATCCTCCCATCTCTGCTTTTTTAATGACCTTGTACTCCACCATCTGTGCCAACCTTGCTGTCCTGTGTTCACTGGCCCTGTCATCCCTCCAGCCTTGCCACCCTGTGCTTGCTGGCCCTATAATGGCAAAGGGAACTTTCTGGCCCTTGCTGATCTCCGCCATCTTATTCCAGCCACTGCAGATGAAGCACGTTGCATGTGCCTTGTCCAAATTGTATGCCCCTTCTTCTGAAAAGTGACAGGGCCAGCAAGTGCAGGGCGGAAAGGCCAACAGGAGCAGCAAGGCCAGTAAGCACAGAATGGCAGAGGCAGCAAGCACAGGGCAAAAAAGACTAACCCAGCTAGCACAAAGTCGCAAGGCTGGCAGAAGCAGCAGGGCCAGCAAGAGTCAGCCAGTGGGCAGAGGCGAGCAGCGCTAGCAGAGCATAGGGCAGACAAAAGGACAGAGATAGTGATACATCCATCCATGGAAAATGACTGAAAATCAGGCCAAGTATTCCATTAATAAACAAATAAATAAAGATTATTAATACTCACTTGGGGAATCTGAGTACTTTTCCCACATCCTGTTTCTCCAACAATCACTAATGTCTGATAATTTTCTACCAGATAAAGGATATGATTTCTAAGCTGGAAGAGAAATAGATGTTTAGACATGAATTAAAGCACCTCATAAAAGAAATTTTAGTAAAGGGTAAGGATGGAATCCACTCTTCGATGACAATATGGGAATATTTATGTACAGTGCTTTATTGCATACATTCTGAAACAAATCATAAAACAGATTTATTTGTATTATATATAATTTACTTTAAAAGGTTACACTAACAATAAAATATATAAAATAATATCACACAATGACACAAGGAGGCGCATCATCTTTACCAAGCAAGCTACAAGCTAGCACAGAATTCTTATACCCATGCAATTCAACTCGTGTTTACATCAACAGTGAATAGTGGCAGGCTTGTATTGCTGTCACAATGTTCCCATACACTGAGATAGGAAAAATTATTCTGTCTCAGCGTTATGAGGCCTACATGTGTTGAAAATACATTTATTTTCTATTTTGCAAAATCAGCTTAAAATATGAAATGGTAGACCATTCCTACATGGCAATGCATGCAATTCTGCAGTTCAAAGTAATAAAAGTAATTCATACCTTAAAAACAGGCAGCTTTTGCCTCTGTTGCTCAATAGAAAGGGAAATATAGGGATTATAGATAACCGAAACACTTGAACTTTCAGCAGCATTCTGTCTCTCCTCGGAGAGGCTGACACCAGGTCCTTCTGTGCCTACACACACAAGCAAACAAATAATTATTAATTTGATGTGACTTTTACAAAAATACAAAAAAAGGTAAAGAGGTATTTTGCTTGTAATTTCACTTGTAATTTGATATACATATTTAAGAGGAAATTAATCCTCACAAATTCAGAGCTTTTCAATTTAGTATTTTAAAAGTTTTTTTTAAAGTACCAATTTGCTGGCATACCAGTCATGTCCATATCTGCTAAGGACAGACTATTCCTCAGGTATGTATCTTCCAATGGTCTCCAAGCTGAGTTTTCTAATGCACTGTGTATAGGGCAGTTTTTTTAAATAATGGTTCAGAAATTAATACAAGAATTACCATTACTGGTAATAGACTGAAATATAAGCATTTGTGTGATACCAAATACCATGATTATAAGGAATTAAAATGCTGGATTTTAAAAACCTAAACAGTTTAAGCTGCTGGCAAAGTCCTGGTTGTGTGTTTGGATGGCCTCTGGTATGGGCAGGATGGGCATACTGTCTCCATCCTTGCCCTGGATGACTGCTTGCTGACTTTCGATACCACTGACCATTTGAATCAACTCAGAGTTGGAGGTACATGGTATGTTGTTGCACCAGTTCACCTCCTTCATTCAGGGTCATTGCAAGTTGAAGGTGATTGGGAAGGAGAAATCTCACCATTGGCCTCTACAATGTGAAGTGTCACAGGGCTTGGTGCTTTCTCTTCTGCTTTCCAAAATCTACATGAGGCCACTGACTGAGCTCATCCATTGCATGGAGTGAGGTATCATCACTGACGATACCCAATATATATTTCCCTCCCTGGTAAATGTGTCATCCCAGTTCCTCAAGGTTGTGAGAGTCTGGACAGGGAACGTCTTCAGCTGAACCCTGACAAGACAGAATGGTTTTCATTCTGGAGGCCTACTTATTCCAGGATCATGCCATCTTTCATGCTGGATGACGTTGCACTACCAGAAGCTTCAGATGGTACAGAATGCACAGGCAATTAATTGCATATGCTTCTAGGGCTGCACAGGTTACACTTCTGCTTCATAGGCTGTTGCTAATTTGCCTCTAGGTCCAATATAAGGTGCTGGTACTGGTTTTAACCTTTAAAGACACTCATGGCATGGGACTGGATTATCCGAGGAGCTGTCTCTGCCCAATAACTTGCCCTATCATAGAGCAAATATGATATGAGTACCATCAGCTAGGGATTTGTGTCTGATGGGTCCTAAGAGTTGGGCCTTCCTCTGCTGGGGCATCTGCCTTAAGGAATATTCTTCCCCCTGAAATTAGAATGGCCCTTTTGACTTCTTGTTAAGGCCCTCAACACCTGGTTATGCTTTCAGGTCTGGGGCTTCCAGGGGACTGGAGATCTGTCCTGATAGCTCCGTTGCTGTTTTATTTTTATGCTATTTATTATTACCAGATTTATATTAGCAGTTTTATTTATTGTTGTGCAATGCTCCTCCTTTGGGAGAGACAGGAAGCTGTATAAACTTGACTTATTGTATGATTGATTGATTGATTGATTGATTGATTGATTGATTGATTGATTGAGACAGCTGGACAGATATTCTCCTGTTTTACCTAGCCCTTCCTAGCTCAAGCAACCAACTAGATTGGCAGCTAGAGCTTTTCAAATAATTCTACACAAACCCACAAACATGCTTATATATACTAGTCCCATTTAACAATAATTGGGACTGGAATCTCAGTTGTTGAGCAAAGCGGTCATTAAGCAAGATGCCCACATGACTGTTTCACTTAACAACCTCATTCAATGGCACTCCTGGTTGTAGTGATTAACAATTAACAAGCAGTGAAAAAGCTTCTTGCTAAAAGATTTCAGCTCCGCACAGATCTGAAATCCTCCTGGCAGCTGCTTTGGAAGGTGCTCCTGATTGCCTCTGCATGCTTTGAGTAAAGGGATTGTGCATGTATATTGCAATGTACTGTTTTCTGAATGTAAGGCATCTCTTGAAAACTGTGCGTAATCCTACTGGGTACTGTTACTTTATACTCTTGTAATTGTATTCTTTAATTGCAGTGTTTTAGGGGCATATACATAATAAACAAATTATGTTGATTTTAATTGTGATTTCTGAGTAATATGAATACAGTCTATCTGTTGTACATTAACTATACTGAAGATAGATCTATTGGCAATATTTATATGAATATTTAAAATAAATTTCTACTATAGGTCTTATTTCTGTATGAAATGAACTCAAAGCTGGCCTAAGTACACCCACAGCAACTGACAATTGTGTGTGCTAAATCATAGAACAGATACAAACAGGTTAAAAAAATTGAATATAGGTAGTCCTTGACTTACAATCACAATTGAGCCCAAAATTTTTCTTGTTAAGTGAGTTTTGCCCTGTTTTATGACTTTTCTTGACAGAGTTAAGTGAATCAGTGCAGTTGTTAAGTCAGTAGCAATAGCACTTTGACTTATATTCCACTCTATAGTGCTTTATAGCCCTAAGCAGTTTACAGAATCAACATATTGCCCCCAACAATCTGGGTCCTCATTTTACCAACCTCGGAAGAATGGAAGGTTGAGTCAACCTTGAGCAGTGAGAATTGAACTGCTGGCAGTCAGCAGAATTAGCCTACAATACTGCATTCTAACCACTGCACCACAATAGCCAGTAACATGGTTGTTAAGTGAATCTGGCTTCCCCATTGATTTTGCTTGTCAGAAAATCGCAAAAGATGATTAATCATATAACCCCAGAATACTACAACCATCATGAATATGAGCCAGTTGCCAAGTCTCTGAATTTTGTCACATGATCATAGGGATGCTGCAAAATGGTCATAAATATGTTTTTTCAGCGCCGTTATAACTTTGAATGGTCACTAAATGAATTGTTGTAAGTCAAGGACCACCTTTATATGTAAGCTGCAGTTTCCCAAAAGTAGGCTCTTCAGTTTACAAAAGGAAAAAAAATCATTCCAACTTGATTACATAATTAATTGCTGTTCTTATGATCCATCAAATCAACCCTGGCTCTTGCTGACTCAGAAACAAGTTTATGTACTTTTCTTGACAACATTTTTGGAAGTGGTTTGCCTTTGCCTTCTTCCTACAGCTGAGAGTAACTAGTCCAAACTCATCTAGCTGGTTTTGGTGCCTAAGACAGACCTAGAATTCTTGGTCTCCCAGTTGCTAGTCTGGTGGTTGTACCTCAAATTGGCTCATGTACCATAAACAGCATATTATAATTTTAAGATACTATCAGCAATATCAAGCAGCTTATGCACATCTTCACAGGTTGCAATTTATCATTAGCTGCAATTTATATCACATAAATGCTGTAATTATATACCGTGAATACATTGCTATCAATTCAGTGTAATAGCTTGCCCAGAAACCATATTATTGCAGTCTGAACACATCTCAAGGTAACAGATTTGGGAAAAATTTCTTTAACATGTTGTGGGAAGAATCCAGAGAAAGAAATATTTTGGGAAATATTAAAAAGGTAGAATATATTTCTCCAAAGAAATAATGGAGATCTTTAAAAGGCAGAAAATTCAGCAGAAACCAGCTTTTAGAAATGTAGATGTAATAATCCATTCAGGGAGGTTGAGGCCAGGAAGCTAGAAGCTATGAGATTAGGAAGACAAAGACCTCTAAAATCTACATACCCCACCCAAACTCTAAAAGGCATGAACTTTTGGGACATAATAGGATTAACCCTCCAATACCAAAAGGGCACACTCAGACTCAGGTCAAAGTACATGACACAGGAAATACAAAGCCTCTATGCCCAAAAAAAAGTAATAGTTGGTTTTGCTCTATACGTTATTTAAACCCAGTTACTATAGTAATTCAACAAGCACATGAGTAAACAAGAGATGTTTCACCCTGGGAGAATTTCTAAGTTATTCTTTGACCTGGCTCTGAAGAACTTTATAAATAAACTATTGTGGACATTAGGGGTATTGGGTTTATGATCTTGATTAAGTAGATCAGTGGTTCTCAACCTTTTTAATGCCGCGACCCCCAACCAGTCGTAAGTCAAGGACTAAACCGGTCGTAAGTCGAGGACTAAACCGGTCGTAAGTCGAGGACTACCCAACCGGTCGTAAGTCGAGGACTTTCCCTGCCCGGGAGCGCCGCGCATGCGTGGTTCCGCCCCCTGCGCCGGCCGAGGCGTAGCTGGCAAGTAGCAGACGGAGCAGGCCGACCACCAGCTGGCCCAGCTCAAGGGAGGTAAGGCACCCGCCGGAAAAGGGGGAAAACAATGGCGGACAGCCTTGCTTGGCGACCCCCGTGAAATGGTTGATCGACCCCAAATGGGGTCACGACCCATAGGTTGAGAACCGCTGAAGTAGATGAAAGAACTGGGATGAATCTAACTTTAAAAACATTGAGAAGACAGCTGTGATAGTCATGTGTTTTCTCTTTAATAATCTTTTTTGTGTAGTTCAAAAATTTGTAGCCTATCTCTAAATTTTGATTTTTTGTATATGATTTAATACTTACATATAAAGAACAAACTGCATATAACTATCATGTTCATACTAAATAGCAGCACCCATCAAAACTGACTACTAATTGTATATAACAGTCATTTGATATAAATATTTTAATAACTATATTAAATTAAATAGAACTTTCTTGCAAGTAAATAATCACAGAATTATTCAAAAACCTATTTAGCTTCAAAGATCATATTACAAATTGGCAGCCATCAGGGTTTTTTTCTCTACTCTTCAATAACTTAAGAAAAAGGATGCAGGGATAAAGTGGGTTAATGGAAATGAGATGAAAAATTAGGTTGTATGTAAAACAATGTAGTCTTATACAGAATTATCATATTGCTATAGGTTTTTCCTAGAAGAAAATATATCAAACTTTGCAATCTATTTAAAACCATTGTAAAAAAGGCTGCAAATACTGTTAAAATCTTGATATAGAAGGACCACAATGAATTACAAGACCGTGTCTATGTTCTTTCTAGAAATGGAGATCAGTTCAAGGGCAAATTATTTTTTTCACTGAAATATAAAATATTCATTAATAATCTCAGAAAGAAGTGGCTATATTAATAAATCAGCCAAAAGTACTGAAAGAATAAAATCTATGACATGCTCATGCTCTACAATCTTCCTTAGAACCCAAAAGTGTAAATGACTACAGCATTGAACACATTGGCATTAATAGTTGAACACAATGGTATTAATAGTTCAACATAAATATATACAGAATATTAAAAGTTATTATGTGAGTTTTTGTTGCATTAATGTGAAGGCAAAGCTCTCTAAATTCCACATACTCTTTTGTAATTGCAAACAAATACCAGAAACAATCTGTATACATACACAAATAATTATATAAGGAAACTACAGCAGCAAACATTGCCTCAACTGTTAAGGAGGTTAGCTCCATGTCTAAAAGTGAGCAGTAATTTAATTTAAATATTAATAGATCTATAAAATTAAGTTTCATCATGGAAAACTGTTTTCTAATTATCCTTCACGCCAGAAAAATCACCTCATGCAAAGAGATAAAAGCTACCATGTAAATTGCTTAGCACTGCAGAAGATTCTGTTATAACAGCACTTGACTGCCATTGCATTTACATATAATCAGTAGCAAGAACAGCATCTAGTTCCACCATTGAGGATTTTTACCTCACTACTTTTTAGTGGAGTGGAAGCTTTTCCTCAATTCCACAATGCCCCTTTAAAATTTAAAATCACCCTTTCAATTCAAATGACAGTTATCTTAAAATCATTTCAAGTTATTACTGCTTTGTACACAATAAAAGCAGATTTATTTTGGCACTATGCTAGTTAGCATTCATTGCCTATTAAAATAAGTGAAATTCTTTTTAAAAAAATTCATGGAAGAGACTAGTGCACCTCTCACAATTTATTTTAAATGTAAATATCTGTGTGGCTTGCCTCTAAGGAGGTTCACTGAAGCAAGAAAAGGGTGTATTTATGGGTGTGTTACTTTTGAATATTCTACAACTAGAATTAGACTGGTCATATATTCAGCGATAAATCCCATGACTTAAAAAGAGTCTTCACTTAAAAGAATTTGAAACTGGCATCTTATAGGATTTTTTTTGTACATCAAACAGCTTAATCTCAATCGGATGCATTTATTTAACACCACCTGAACGAGGTAAATAGGTCCACTCCATAGCATTAAATGGCATTAAGGGGAGGGGGGAGAAAAGCAGAACGACCGCCAGTGAAGAAGCACAATTTTCTTAATTCAGAATTCACAAGCTTCTAAGTCAAAAGATCGGCATGTTCAAAGGTTAAATATTAGGATTTGAGCAGGTGCAGAATAACTTTTCTTTTCTTCTACCCTTGTTCATTTGTGACCGGCCACCTTTTTTCTTTTCTTTTTTACTTATTTAATGATTCACAAGAGTCGCGCGTCCGTCCTCCAAAATAAGAGTATCGGTACATTCCCAATCACCTATCCCGCCGGTGTCCTTTCACAAACTGAAATTACATTTCCACCAAAACTAGACAAAAGCAGGCATCGCCCTTCCACTTCTTATTCCCTCCCATGGCATTTATATACCCGTCCTTTACAAAAAATTCAAGGCTTACCCGGTTTCCAAAACTTCAACGGACCCACGGGCGCCGCCATCTTGGGGTGAAAGGTCAAAGAAGGAAAGGAACGAACCCTCTCGCCGTTGAAAGGATCATGTGATCGCGAGGAGTTTGGTGATTGGCTGATGGTTACCATGGATTCCTCCCCCTCCCATTTGCCAAGCAGCTGTCTCTCCTCCAATCTACAGTCCAAGGGCAGAGCTTTAGCTGGGGACTGGGCTGTTTTTCGCCAACCTTTGGGATATTTTAGATGAGGGTAAAGGCTTCGGCAGAAACGCAGAAGTGGTTTGCCATGACCTTCTTTGAGAATAGCGTTTTTCAACCTTGGCAACTTTTAAGATGTGTGGATTTCAACTCCCACAATTCCACATGCTCTTATTTCGGAATTATATCTGAAACTAATTCTTTTACCGACATCGCAGGTTCAGTATAACCATACCTTTTCAAAAATAGCTGGATTCCAAAATTTTGGAATATAATGTGACATTAACATTATTAGCATTTTAAAAAAATCCCCATAGATCTTCTTACATTAAAATATTACAGTCCATTGGGTGAGTAGACCTAGTTAGTAACAGCATTCCCCATTGCAAAATTTTGTTTCAGATTCCATTTATATTCTGTATCTAGAGGTATTATACTGCCTTGCTCAATTTGGCATATTCCAGATGAGCTGGACCAGAGGATCGTGCTTGCTGGTAATTCTAAGAATTTCCGTCTCGCTACATCCATTACAAAATCTTACAGAGGGCATTCTATACTCAATGTACATGCCCATCATTCTTTGATGATAAGTAATCCTTCATGAATTATGTTAGTAGCATAGAGATGATTATTTCAATTGGTTGGTTCCTGCTGAAGACAGAGGGATTTATTTATTTGTTTATTGATTGGATTTCTGTCCCACTTTCTATTCAGGTATTCAAGGCATCATATGTAGCAAATTCTATTTTCCCCACAAGAACCCTGTGAGATAGGCTGGATTGAGACAGAAAGTGACTACCTCAAACTTGCCCAGTAAATTTCTGTGATTGAGAGTATTTTGAGAAGCACAGTCATTTATAACCCATCAGTAATTGAAATTAGAGGAAACAATATCCATTAGGAAAACTTTTTGCCTTAATAAGTCTATGGTCACTTTTTTACCATCAACTCACATGAATTTTTCATGAGCTTTTCCAACTAAACTGGTTCCTGATGTGTATAAAAATTTCCAGATGCTAAGAAAATAATCCAAAGTGATGGAGGAAAAGATAGTTATTAAAACATATCTCATATTAGCTATGATCATATTTGTAGATTAAAAAAAAGTATCTTTATCTTTAATCACTCCTATGGTATTTTATCCTTATTTTGTGTTTATCTTTTGTAAACCATTTGAGTTTCAGATAAACAGCATATTAAATATAGTACATAAACATAAATATGTAGGTGGAGACAATAAAAAGGCTTAATTACTGCCTAAGGGATATGCATCCTCTTCTCTATCCAGATGTAGATTCATCATATTCAGTTTTATACAAATGCAGTTTGATCAAGGGAAGCAACATACTTTGATTGAATGTTTTGATCTAATATAAACATATACAATATTAGATAAAGGTATTAAGCAAACTATTTAAAACAATGTATCATCATATTTGATTCTATAATAGTCCAGTGATTAAGCATCAACGTGCTGGGCAAAAGGCAGACCACATGATGCTTCCAATAATTTTGAAGCTGTTGCTGGAGATGCCTTTGTTACTCAAGGTTGCCATTTATCCCATAACTGAATCCCCCAATGATGGCATCACTTTCACAGAAACAAGAATAGCCATAAATAAATAATCACACATGAAGTGGGAATTCATATAAATGGCAACTTTATGGGAGTCAGTTTGCTAGAAGACCATTGGTGATCCTGCATCTTTCCTTGGAAATGTAGAAATTTACCAACTTCTTGTCTATATGTACAGTAACATCTGATTTTTGATTATCATCAAGTGATGATAGATGTTGCTTCCTCTCTCAGTACCTGAAGTAGAGCTATTCAGAAAAAGAAACAGATCTTAATTTCAGCATGCACACCCATAAATATCAATTCTAATCCAACTAGAATATAGGATTCCTGGTTTAACTGGTCTGAAAAATTAACTTTTTTCAAACATTTCTAAGTTCCCATCTTCAAAAAAGGAAAAAAAATGGAAATGGAAATTACAGACCTATCAGCCTGACCTCAATACCTGGGAAGATTCTGTAAAAGATAATCAAACAACGAATCAGCGAACACCTAGAGGCAAAGTCATTACTAAAAGCCAACATGGGTTTGTCAAAAACAGATCATGCCAGACAAACCTTATTGCATTCTTTGACCAAGTGACAAAATTAGTGGATCAGAGGAACGCTGTGGATATAATTTACTTGGACTTCAGTAAGGCATTTGATAAAGTAGATCACAACATACTACTTGACAAGATAGAAAAATATGGGTAGACAGCATCACCACCAGATGGATCCGTAGCTGGCTGACCAGCCGTATTCAGCGTGTGTTTCTCAATGGAACCGCATCTACATGGAGGGAAGTGTGTAGTGGGGTGCCCCAGGGCTCTGTTCGGGGCCCAGTGCTCTTCAACATCTTCATCAATGATTTGGATGAGTAGATGGGGAACTCATCAAATTTGCAAACGACACCAATAGGAATAGCCAACACTCCAGAAGACAGGCTTATGATACAGGATGATCTGGACAGACTTGAACACTGGGCACTATCTAACACAGTGGTGGCGAACCTATGGCACGGGTGCCAGTGGCACTCACGAGCCCTCTCTGTGGGCACACGCGCCGTTGGCCCAGTCCTAGGCCTTCAGCTGGGTTTTATAAAACCTTTTTGCTTTAGGCCTCCGCCGCCGTGTGCAAAAACAAAAAAAAGGTTCAATCAGTCAATTTCAACTTCTCGTGGGGAAAAAAAAGATCTTGCAAAATTGGAATTGATTGAACTTTTTAGTCCCATCCAGTCTGCCGTTACCACCGCAGCCACGCCCACCCAATTGGCAACACCCACCCAATGGGCCACACCCACCTGGCACTTTACGATGCATAAGTGGGTTTTGGGTTGCAGTTTGGGTACTCGGTCTCTTAAAGGTTCGCCATCACTGATCTAACAAAATGAAATTCAATGGTGAAAAAAGCAAGGTTCTACATTTAGGCAAGAAAAACCAAATGTACAGGTATAGTATATGGGGTACCTTGCTCAATAGTAGTAACTGTGAGAGGGACCTCGGAGTCCTAGTGGACAATCACTTAAATATGAGCCAGCAGTATGCTGCAGCTGCCAAAAAGGCCAACACAGTGCTAGGCTGCATTAACAGAGGGATAGAATCAAGTTCACGTGAAGTGTTAATACCACTTTACAATGTCTTGGTAAGGCCTCACTTGGAATACTGCATCCAGTTTTGGTCACCGCGATGTAAAAAAGATGTTGAGACTCTAGAAAAAGTACAGAGAAGAGCAACAAAGATGATTAGGGGACTGGAGGCTAAAGCATATAAGGAACGGCTGCTGGAATTGGGTATGTCTAGTTTAATGAAGAGAAGGACGAGGGGGGACATGATAGCAGTGTTCCAATATCTCAGGGGCTGCCACAAAGAAGAGGGAGTCAAGCTATTCTCCAAAGCGCCTGAAGGCAGGACAAGANAGTCATTTATAACCCATCAGTAATTGAAATTAGAGGAAACAATATCCATTAGGAAAACTTTTTGCCTTAATAAGTCTATGGTCACTTTTTTACCATCAACTCACATGAATTTTTCATGAGCTTTTCCAACTAAACTGGTTCCTGATGTGTATAAAAATTTCCAGATGCTAAGAAAATAATCCAAAGTGATGGAGGAAAATATAGTTATTAAAACATATCTCATATTAGCTATGATCATATTTGTAGATTAAAAAAGTATCTTTATCTTTAATCACTCCTATGGTATTTTATCCTTATTTTGTGTTTATCTTTTGTAAACCATTTGATAGTTTCATATAAACAGCATATTAAATATAGTACATAAACATAAATATGTAGGTGGAGACAATAAAAAGGCTTAATTAGTGCCTAAGGGATATGCATCCTCTTCTCTATCCAGATGTAGAGATTCATCATATTCAGTTTTATACAAATGCAGTTTGATCAAGGGAAGCAACATACTTTGATTGAATGTTTTGATCTAATATAAACATATACAATATTAGATAAAGGTATTAAGCAAACTATTTAAAACAATGTATCATCATATTTGATTCTATAATAGTCCAGTGATTAAGCATCAACGTGCTGGGCAAAAGGCAGACCACATGATGCTTCCAATAATTTTGAAGCTGTTGCTGGAGATGCCTTTGTTACTCAAGGTTGCCATTTATCCCATAACTGAATCCCCCAATGATGGCATCACTTTCACAGAAACCAGAATAGCCATAAATAAATAATCACACATGAAGTAGGAATTCATATAAATGGCAACTTTATGGGAGTCAGTTTGCTAGAAGACCATTGGTGATCCTGCATCTTTCCTTGGAAATGTAGAAATTTACCAACTTCTTGTCTATATGTACAGTAACATCTGATTTTTGATTATCATCAAGTGATGATAGATGTTGCTTCCTCTCTCAGTACCTGAAGTAGAGCTCTTCAGAAAAAGAAACAGATCTTAATCAATTTCAGCATGCACACCCATAAATATCAATTCTAATCCAACTAGAATATAAGATTCCTGGTTTAACTGGTCTGAAAAATTAACTTTTTTCAAACATTTCTAAGTTCCCATCTTCAAAAAAGGAAAAAAAATGGACCCAGGAAATTACAGACCTATCAGCCTGACCTCAATACCTGGGAAGATTCTGTAAAAGATAATCAAACAACGAATCAGCGAACACCTAGAGGCAAAGTCATTACTAAAAGCCAACATGGGTTTGTCAAAAACAGATCATGCCAGACAAACCTTATTGTATTCTTTGACCAAGTGACAAAATTAGTGGATCAGAGGAACGCTGTGGATATAATTTACTTGGACTTCAGTAAGGCATTTGATAAAGTAGATCACAACATACTACTTGACAAGATAGAA